GCATACAGGTAGGGGACAAAAGCAGGTGTGTGTGTTTTGTTTTGACACGCTGGGTTTTGGAGGAAACCAGCCCCAGTTCACATCCAGGTTCCCATTTTAGCAGAATCCCCAAAGTTGGGGATGGCGAGGTGGGATAGGTAATTCTGGGGGGGGGGGGTTCATGTGGGTTGCTTCTGACCCGCCTCAGTGCTCCCCTTCTTCTTCTACACTTGTCACTGTAGTGTCTCAGCCCCTTACGCTTTGAAAACACACACAGGGTGTCAGCGTCGGTCTCTCCACCCAAAGGCAGCTTTGGTGCCCACTGGCCCAGGTTAAATTCCTAAGTGCTTAGCACTCTGGGGATTGATCTCAGTGGGCCTGCTGTCACACTAGGGTCGGGTCTGTGCTGGAGTTAGGTGGCGGTAAGTCACCACATACTTTTCAATGTCCATGCAGAACCTCAGAGGGGCAGCCGGGTTAGTCTGTATCCACAAAAACAACGAGGAGTCAGATTGATTTGGGCATAAGCTTTCTGGGTAAAAAAACCCACTTCTTCAGCTGCAGAACCTGCAGCCCTATCGCCCAAACAGGACAAAGCGGGGAGTCAGACCACGTGCATTCCTACCTGCAGTTCTAGGACAAGAAACCATTTCCTGTGTCAGTGTGGAGAGTTCTCCTCTCCATACGGCTACACCTGCTTTCCTCCCCCCCGCCCCATCCCTGCCTGTGTTTGTTTTATTTCATTTCATTGGGGGCACATGTCCTTTGTACCTTGCCCCTCCGCCACTTGAGCAGATAAATAACCAGAGCAGGCTGTGAACACCAGGTGAAACTCCAGTTTGTGAGGTCACATGTCCAGGCGAATGGGTCCCCTGCCAGTGAGAAATCCTTACCAGCCCTTCCTGGCAGTTACTTCACTTGGATGTGAGCCGAGGGGATGGGGCCTGGGGGCTGGAAATAGTGAAGGGCCCAGCTGGGCATCTCAGAGCCATATCTGAAATTTAAACCCATGCGGTATTGGAAGGCACTCCCCAAAATAACATGGAGAACATGACATCTCTCTCCAAGGCCATAGGGAGGGTTCCTAAAACCACGGTAGGGAAGCACACGCTAAGATCTATCAGGAGCACTCTGCCAGGAGCCTATCAAACCTGCACTGATGTGTCTTGGGAGAAAGCAAGCACTGAACTGGGAGAGACCTTGTCAAACCCACACCCAGGCTGTGAAGCTTGGGGACCTGTCAAACTTGCATAAAGGATCTGAGATGTAATATATTATCAGCCACTAGATGTCTCTGTGTCCCTTAGAGCTCCAGACAAGGTGTGGTTGCTTGGTAAACAAGTGGAACTCAAGCTGTGTGGAACTTGTTTATTTGTATCTATAGTTGTAGTTGTTTGCTTTAATGAAAGCCGACTGTTTAAGAAGGACTGGGCTTTTCTATATTGTGAGGGCTATTTGGGGAACTCAGCTGGTAGAGGGCTGGTAGAATGTCACCCATCCGTGGATTAGACCAGCATAAAAATCCTATCCCTGCTGTAAATTGGTGTCACTTCAATGATTTCATGCCAGGGCTTCATTTGTCTCCTTAAGTACAAATACTAATGAGCAGCAATAAGATTCTTGAAGGCACTCAGACAACTCACCATAGCCAGAGGTTGGTGCAGAGACAGTGCTAGCCTATTGGGGGCCCTAATCAGGAGTATTTGGGGAGCTCCCCCCATGCACAACGCATAATAAAAAGCGAAGAGTGGGGGGGCCTTGAGCGGCTCAGTGCCCTAAGCAATTGCTTATGCCTAGTGCCGGCTTGGAGTTGGTGTAACTGCCATGTTTTAAAAGCGCTTGTGAATTCACATTGTTTTCCCTTTATCTTTGGTGCACAGAAAGGGGCAACGGTTTGTAGAGGACCCAGAAGAAGAAATTAGAAATATGAGCAAGAAATGAAATGTGATTCAGCCTGGAGAAAAGACAAACTAATATAACCCAGGGAAAAAAATAATCCAAATCAAAGCTTCTCAATGGGAGAGCAAAAGTAGGAGAATGGTAAGACGACGAAAAACCTAGGAGGTAACCATAGATGTCAAATTAGATAGCTGATGGTAATGGATAAGGAGTGGGAAGGACTGAGATATGAGGAAAGATCGATAAGGACTAAATACAACAAGCGTGGCTGAACCATAGCGGAAGTGGGATATGCCTGTCTAGCAGCATTTAAAGGAGACATAGAAACACTAAGGAGAGAGAATTGTTTGAAGGTGGCCCCTTTGACCAGTCAGATTAGCATACGAATATTTAGCAGAACTGGCGGAACATTTTCATTCAGATGGAATAATGCTGTTTTGTTGGAATCAAAAGTTCCTTCAGGAATGTGTGGATAGGAAAAAAATTGGGGAGGGGGGGCATTTTGATAAGGTTGAAATGTTCTGTTGTTTGTTTTGCAACAGGTTTTCATTTTTATTTTTTATTTTATATGGTACAAAAATTACATCAAAACTGAAGTCAAACGGCACATTTTATTTTGATAACACTGAAATCTACCTGAAATGAGTTGTTTTTTTTCAGAAATTTCATTTCATAGGCAATTTCAAAATTTGTTTCCGATTCAGAACAAAACAAGTTTTGAAATCCTGGAGTTTACCACACAGCTGTAATTTAGGCTGAAGAGCAGGTAACTTTTCCAAAGACTTGCGCTTGACCGTCCCTTACTCATTGAATAGCAAACCCTGTGAGTAGCTCTCTTGACATCACTCGGAGTTCTTGCAGGATGAGATACAACTCGGTGTTGTAAAGTTGTCACAATCTGGTGCATTGAGATCCACGCAACCATGGAACAGTCTGACTAAAGGAAGTGGTGGCAGGCTCCATTGCTTGAGTCATTTGCAGCTGGGCTGTACGTAGCCTTGGGAAATAATCCTGTGTTGGCCGGAAGTATGGGGCCTATCAAGTCTCTTTCCCATCTCTAATTTCTATTAGCTCTTTAAGGAGCTCAGCCTCTTAGCGGTGTCGGATCCACGCCACTCTCTCCTCGGTGTTTTGGTGTGATGCGGAGAAAAGGCATTTGTTTAATGGGATTATTCTTTTAAGGCATATGTAAGAGGATTCCAGTGCTTTATGGTGCTCCAAGCAACCTGTATTCTATGCCAGCGAGCACAAGTGTGAAGGTGAAGCAGGTGAAAGGAACACTGCAGTGCTGCTAACTGCGCACACAGCCCTGTGACGTTATCGCATTAGAGTATGACCATGCAAATCATTGTTGCTACCACTGTTACATAATTGCAACGAATGTTATACAAAGTGTGACTCATGGCCAGAAAGCGTTCAGCATCCTGCTGGATAATGACACAGATTCAACCTTTAGAGACATGTTAGAAAAGTATGTAAATGGTAATTAGGGCCATTCCATGTTAGATAGGCTAGAAATTTGAAATGCAAACCTGTATTGCTAGAGAATTAAAGGTGATACTAATTGTATGTGTCTACTTATATCTTGTTAGATGTTACCCATGTAAACAGACAGTTCCTGTCTGTCACTATAGCTATTGATTCAGAGATCAAAAGGGAATAGTAACATTTAGATTAATTTTGGGTGAAATAATGTCATTGTCTATATGTCTCTTTAAAGTTTGTGTTAAACTGCCTAATGGATACATTGCCTTATGTTAATCTGTGTAGTTAATTACCGGTGATGCTTAGGAAATAGGTCTACTTCAAAGTCTCCATGATTGCCTGTTGTTCGCCTAAGGACTCCGTCGCTCGGGGGAGGGGGTGGAAGCCAGAAAGAGGCAGGGTGGGGGCTTGGGGGAAGGGGTGGAGTGGGGGCAAACTGGGGCCAGGTCACTCATTGCAGCCGGCACCAGGCCCCCCGCTAATCCCCCAGGCTGCCCTGGACCCCACGTCCACCTGAAGCACAGGGCCCCC